CTGGATGGAAGGTCCTGCCCTCGTGGAGGGATAGTAGGTGTGGAAGACTGGGGAGTCGGAAGTGATCTGACACCATCTGTAACAGAGGAGCGAACCAGGGTTGTCGTGGCCACCAAGGAGCGATGAAAATCACGTTGGCCCGATCCTGATGGATTTTGATTACTGTTTTCTGTATCAGGGGGATTGGAGGGAACGCGTATACGAGACCACTCGTCCATGACACCATGAACGCATCTCCTTCCGAGTGGGATCCCATCCCCGCACGGGAACAGTACCTGTCGCACTTGGCATTGACAGCAGACGCAAACAGGTCCAGACAATGGGATACCCCATCTCTGGCAGATGGAAGAGAAGACCGCTTGGTCTAACGCCCATTCGTGAGACATTTCCGGAGACCTGCTGAGTCGATCTGCTAACACATTGTCCGCTGATGCTACATGTACTGCTACCAGGGAAATGTGGCGCGCACAGCACCAGTCCCAAATTTGAACAGTGAGATGAAGCAGTTGACGAGAGTGGGTCCCACCCTGTTTGTTGAGGTAGTATACGACAGTGGTGTTGTCCGAAGTCACTTGTACCACCTTGTTCGAGAGTAGGCGCTCGGATGCTCGGAGTGCTTTGAAAACTGCTAGAAGTTCCAGGGCATTGATGTGCAATGCAGCTTCTGGCAGAGTCCAGTGGCCATTGGCTGTGAGGTTCAGGCAGTGCGCCCCCCAGCCCGAGAGACTCGCATCCATGGTGAGTTGGATGGAGGGTTGTAGGGGTCCGAAGGGACAACCTACTAGCAGATTGGAACGGAGTGACCACCAAGCTAGTTGCTCCGCCAGCTCCTGCGTCACCAACAGCAGCTTTGAAGGTGGATCGATGAGTGGATCGAATGAGTCCTGGTACCAAGATTGGAGGTCTCATCCTCAGCCTGGCATGTTGAACGACCGCGGTGGTGGAGGCCATAAGTGGTCAATTAAATTTTTCAGGGTGTCATCGGTGGAAGGATCAATTAGCCCTTTACCATCATAGCGATTTTTGCTTTGACATCCTCCGCGAGGTTGGCAGATCTAAGCCAGGCATGCCTCCTCAGTGCTACAGCAGTGACCAACTGCTTAGCAGAAATATCAGCCAGGTGACGCGCAGCCTCTCTTTCTTGACAAGCAAGGGCAACCGCATCTTGGTAACTTGCCAAAGCTGATGTCTTCAGCTCTTCCGGGGCGGCATTGATCGCTGGAAGAGCCAAGCTCCACAGGTGGCGATGATAAGCCCCCATGGCTGCCAAGTAATTGGTGACACGAAGAGCAAAGGTGACAAAGGAGTATTGCCTCCGTCCTAGCGCATCTAGCTTTTTGCCTTCCTTGTCGGATGGAGCCTGGTTAGCTCTGGTTCGAGTGGCAGGTTGTGAGGCGTCAGTTACCCAAGAGCTGGGGGTGGGATGTAGCTGAAGAAAGTCTTAGATCAGTGGTTCTTAACCTTTGTTACTCGGATGTTTTTGAACTGCAACTCCCAGAAACCCCATCCAGCACAGTTGGTGGTGAAGGCTTCTGGGAGTTGCAGTCCAAAACTCCTGAGTAACCCAAGGTTAAGAACCAGTGTTTTAGATCAATGAGAGCAAACCAGTCACCTTGTGTGAGCATATGTATGGTGGAATCTAAGGAGACCATTTAACTGAGCGTAGGCAGTATAGTTCTCTGATGGCGATGGAGGATGACTGCCAACTGTGGGTACTTTAGCAGGGGTATCTGGCGGGGGCAGTCCAGCCTGGTCATCCTCATCAGACTCTGAAGCCGAAAGTGAGAACGGGCTGTGGTTAGGAGACAAGCCAGGCGAACCTTCCTCATCCTCAGAACCAAAATCCAGAAAGTCATCACGGTCGACACAACCAAGGCATAGAATGAAATTCAGTGGCATAACCGGTGGCAATGATAGTGAGAACTCAAGAATTGGAGGTGATAGCCCTCCAGGCATCAAAAAATTGTGCTAAACGAGCACTAGACAATGAGGGTGCTGGTAGCTTAAATAGACTAAACTTGCTGCTTAAGCTTGGGATCCTGCCGACGGGCTTGCTGACGTTGCCTCAGTCGGCTGGATTGTTGGCGTGGTCGGCTCCGATAAGAAGGCTGTTGGGCTGGAGCTAGTGGAGGCACAGGTGCCTCGGGCTCCAGGTGCTTAGTTTTCCTCTTCTTACGGGCTGGTTCTGTGGGCTCGGGAACCTGAGTCACTGAATGAACTCGAGGAGAAGCCCTGGCTGGTCGAGCTGGAAGGCTTTCAGCTGGAGAAGCTGGAGCGATCGGGCTCGAGGGCGGAATGAGCTCAGCTGGAAGTTGCATGAGCTTGACTGCAGGAAAGACTGGAGAAACAGCCGCTGAAGCTGGACGTTTCCTCTTAGCCTTAGTTGGGCTCGAGGGAGGTCTCGATGCGGCGGCGGCGGAGACTGTCGACCTCGAACCAGAGATCCTCTTTGATCTCACGGGAGAGCTCAGTAATGATGCCTCAGATGGCGGCGCTCTTAGGGGGGCCATGGCAGGCGGGTCTAAGGACTTTGACCAAAGGAAGGCTGTGAGCCTATCCTGCCTGCGTTTGAGAGCTGGCTTCGTAAAGGCTTTACAATAGGCACAAGCCGGTTTGTGCCCCCCCAAAACAAAAGAGGCAGCTGGAATGGCCGTCTTTCGTTGAAAACTTTCCGTTGCAATCAACGCAACGTTTGAAAGGAGGCTCCTTTTCCATTAACAGTACCTTGTATCAGAGAGTAGTCAGTACAAGCCAAAATATCAAAACCGGGAGGTCAGTCCAAGGAAAACTTTTTTACTTTCCTTTTCAGGAACAGAGGGAGAAGCTCCAACCGTGCTGCACACAGCGGTGGCAGGAAATGGAACTGGCGTGCTCTGTGCCCGGGTAGTGATGTAATCTCCGTGGGAGGTCCCTCGGCACAGAGCTCTTAAAGCTATAGAAGCCTCCGACTTTTCCTGCTCAGCCGCAGAATACCCATGAGTGTGATTCACAGAGGACATGAAGGAGAAACAGGTAATACAAATACACTAGGTTTAAGTTAGCATCCAATGACTAGCTGATTTTTCTCTGCCTCTTAAACAATGTAGCAATTAACAAATACAGCTATTGAAATCTCACTGAAGTGGTTGACTCAAAATGGTAATAACCAATGTCACTGGATTGAGTACTGTTCTACTGTGGAGTAGAAAGGGGTGCAATTCCCTTCCCCTGCAGAATCCCACATTCAGCAGCTGACACACACTTCCTTTGGCTGTTCAGCCAGTCTCCAGCAGGAGCATGGGCTTCCCCAGTCTCCTTGGCTGATCACTCACCCAGAAAAGAAGCAAGATAGGCAAACCCATGCTCCTGCCAGAGACTGGCTGAAGAGGCAAGGCAAACCCATGTTCCTGCCAGAGACTGGCTGAATAGCCAGAGGAGGAGGAGAGGCGTGTGAGTGGACTGGTGAGTGGGTCATTGATCAGGCAGGCAGAGGAAAGGAATGAACCAACATGAACCTGAGGTTCATGCTCATCTGTACTGCAGAGCAGTGGAACCTGAGGCCTTCCAAGTGTTACTGATTCCACTCCCATCATCCTCAGCTAGCCTGGGCAATGGTGAAGCTTTAGGATGGTAGCAGTTTATCAGCATCTAGAAGATCAGAGATAAATCTTGCTGTAGAAATTCATCATTATAGTGATTGCACACAATTTTTAATACTTAATTACAATAAAGGTATTGTGTGTGTCTGGATTTTGCATTTTGTTCTTGTACCAATATAGCCACCCGTAGAATACTGGATCAGTGGTGGATCTATTAGCTCGAAATCCACACTGTGATTTTTGTATTTACTGTATCAGTAAAACAGATGCTACTGTTTGAGGAACAAGTCTCAGACATTATTTTTGAATTTAGAAAATGTGATAATATACAGTATGTAAAGCCAAGGTCCTCTGTTACAAGATGTGATTTTCAAGGACTGGATATCATCTCTCTCTCTCTCTCTCTCTCCCAGGCAATAGTTTAAAAAAACTGCTTACAGTACCTTTAAGTCACATATAGGTTCGAATTCATATATTTTATTATTGGTGAAAGGAAGTTGACACTCAGACATGTATTCCCATCTTTAAATCTACAGTATACTCATAGACTATATAATCCTTTATTCCCTGGAAGTGTGTGCAACAACCCACAGACTGGAGAGGCTCCCCACATCCAGAGGGAGTTTTGAGCTCATAAGCTTCCCTGCTTCAGGTCAATCCCTGCTGCTCTGAAATCAGGAGTGCTTGAGGTAGAGTAGTGGTAACTTGGAAGTGGCTGGTACTCAAGTCACCTATAAAAAAGGAGGACAAAACAAACATACCAGCCCTTTTGAGAACATGGGGATTTAGATCCACTGGCCAGAATCCTGTTCAAGGCATAATGTAATATTACACTGTCATAAATGTGCTGGACATTCCATCCTGGAAATAAGAACTACGCAAGGCAATTGCAGTGTGGATAACACTTCCACCTTGGTGCAATTGTAGCTACCATGTGTGTAATATTCAGTTACATCTGCAGTTACACAGAAGGATTTCAGCCACTCATTCCAAAACTACCACCATTCGGCCTTGGAAAAAGCCTCATTTGCTACTTCATGTCTCTCCTACCACCAGCAGTGGTGTAACAAATGAGTAACAAATGAGACTTATAGGGCTTTGGATTTGTTCCTCTGGCATAGATTCTCCTCCTTCATCTTCACTTAATTGCACTTCTAGTATATCTTTATGCAATAAAAACAGTATATTTCAAAAAAACTCATCATGACTGAATCAGTGCAGGATTTCAAGCTATACAGTAATTTGTTCTTTAAAACCCCAACGAATCATTTAATCAAGCACATTTCATTATAAGAAACAATGGCCTAAGTGTTATTTTATCCCATGTTTATATTTTGAACAACGGTTCCATCAGGCATTTTATTTAAAAAATAATGCTTATTTTGCAATTGATCAACACAAGGCTAACTTAGAAAGGAAAAGTCTGAGAGGGGAAAGCTCATTTAATTAATTTACAATAATTTACAGCCATTTTGTAAAAAGGCATTGCAATTTATCAAACTGGAGAATGCCTGGCTACTATACAATTATAGTTACAGAATTTAAATATTCAAGCTTGTGATGAAAAAACGGCAAGGTGGTCGCAGTGTACAATGTAAACAAATAGTTTTGGAACGTGAACAACGTCCTTGACTCCTTGTTTTATTTTTTATTCTTTAAAAAAAATCTTGATTCTTTCCTGAAATATGATCACAGGTTAACATGTGAATGCTCATCTACAAACATAATTTAAATTGTGTTCAGGATAAAACCACTTTGATGAGGAGTTCAGATTAAGATCCAGTCTGAATGGGGCAGTGTTGAGGTCCCTGTAAAAAGTAAACATCTTTTTCTTTAAAAAAATGTGCTACAACATTTGCAGCACAGTGCAGCATTAAAACTTTAAATACAAAAATATCTCTTCTTCTGTTGGGATAATAGACATAGCATATTGGAAAAGTAGTAACAATACTGCTACTCATAGCGTATCCGGTCCATATTTTTCAAGTCATGTAAGGCAATTGCTGTGTTAGTTTATTGTGTATGGCTAAAAAAAAAGTTCAGGAAATGTTAGTTTTTGCTATGTCTTCCGACTACTCCACATATGTTCTGGTGTACTTTTGTGATCTGTTGAATGTTCAAATGGAGATCTGTGTCCTAATGGAGATCGTGAGTCATATGGTGATCTCTGATCTAATGGTGACCGAGGACCACTACTGGAAGCTCTGTGGTCCATTTGCCAGTCGGAGTGGTATCTATAATCCCTTGAAGATTTATGATGGCTGTAGTCTGAACTAGATCGATGATCCAAAGTTATTTGATGATCTGTGTGTGATCGACTGTCTTTTAAGCTTCCTTCGAGACTTGACCTGTGGTCTCTACTTCTGTGGTCATCTAGCTTTCTATGTTTATTGTCACCATAGTATCTGAAAAATAAACAAACAATATTAGTGAAAGCCAACTTAAAACAGTACACCTTTTAAGACCTTCATCAGAAATTATTATTATTTTTAAATGCCTTCAGTTTCCTAAAAGCAAAACTATACTTTTGGAAGGATGGTGAAGACATCTGTCGTGGGGTGGGGGAAGTAGCCTAGATGTTCTGCAAATAATGAGGTAAGGTTGAAACAAGAAAAGATTCTTAAAAGAATAGATGCAGAAAGCATGATTCAATTGTACTGTTGTCCTATGTGAGCAGGATAGTACAGCTACTAATTACAGTACAGGTGTATATCCCTGTTTCCCTCAATTATAGGGAGTATGAGTAAATTGTTTTATTTTTTAATATGAATACAGTGGTGCCTCGCTTAACGAGCGCCCCATTTAATGACAAAACCGCTTAGCGACGAAGAATTTGCGATCGAAAAAGCAATCGCATTGCAATGTTTTAAATAGGAAAAAATCACTTTGCAATGATTGGTAAGCTGTTTCGCTTACCAATTATCGCATAGCGATCTTTTTCCTGCAGCTGATCGGTGGTTCCAAAATGGCAGCCGGAAAAAAACATGGCCGCCCGCTGTGTTTTGGGATGGATTCCTCACATACCGGGCAGTGAAAATGGCCACCGTATGGAGAATTTTCGCTTAAAGGTGAGTTTTTTGCCCATAGGAACACATTGAAGGGGGTTCAATGCATTCCTATGGGCTTTTAAAAATTGCTTAGCGTTGTTTTCGGTTAGCGGTGATTTTTGCTGCACCAATTAACATCGCTAAGCGAGGCATCACTGTACTGTATCAGCCTAGACCTATGTGGGATATACAAATGATAACTTGTAGGGGTTTTTCTTAGGATGGTAGAAAGGAGGGAAAGAGTTAAATTCTCTCCTCCATACCCAATCCTGTCAACAATCTGTTTTCCCTACCACTCTATCCAGTGCAATGCCTATTTATCAAAACCAGCACGCGATGCACAACAATTATTTAATATTTGAGCCCGTGAATATAAAGAATCTTAGCAGGGTGATATGGGGCTTAGTGACAACTAAAATGAGACGTGCTGGCTAAAAGGCCGAAGAGCATAAAGTTCAAATCCTACAGAAAGAAAAGCCTTTTCTCATGTTTCTAACAGGCATCTTCTGTCAAATCTTTGAACACCAATGGCAGTAAGTAATTTCAGCTCAACAAATGAAAGAAGAATTTCTTTTCCATTCAAAACTGTTACCAGCATTACAGTTTGCTTGTGTGTAACAAAACAGCAGTGAGAATGGGGACAGAGGAGGAGTGGCAGTACCTCTCAGAAAGAGAGAAGTAAGTCAGTCCGAACAAGTTGGATGCTAAAGTATAAGTGACGTATTTCACAAGGTGTTGCTGCACCAATTAATCATGGGATTTTGGCATACTCATGGGATTTTGTGCCTGCGCAGACATCGAAGACAAACTTCTGCTAAGAAGAAATACCTTACCTACCCCCACTGGTACTAACCCTGGGAGAGACTATGAACTTGTCAATATCCTTCAGGTTTTACTTGAAGTGGGTCATTTAGTTGTTTGGCAGGACCACCCTGTGGAGTGAAAGGATTAATTCTCCTACCCACTGTTTTGATGCAGCTTCTCCCCATTACACAGCTGCTATTATTTCAAGAAGAGAAACTGGACGTATTAAAAGATTTTAACATGATACCTGTTTTTGACACTTATAATGGTCAGCATTTTCAGAATTCAAAAGACCTGTTACTTTCATTGGTAAGAAATAACAGGGCAGAATAATAGAATAGCAGTGAAAGGCAGGGCTCAGTAACTGGCCATCATTTAACTCACCTGTTATCCTGTTTATAGTGATCCCAATCTCTATGGTCCTTTCCATTGCTAAAGGAAGAATACGGCCTTTTTCTGCAATCACTTTTTTTGTAGTTGTCTCCATGAAGTCTGTCTTTATGATGATCATGATACTGTGATAAGTGCCTGTCTGATGAATAACTGTCTCTGCTACTATCATCATGATTTGTGTTCTCTTTTAGTCGTTCCACATCTGCTTAAACAAAGTACACAGATTTGTTGTTGTTCATGCATCAGTAAATGAAATTACTATCTGAACAATAAAAGGGCCAAGACTACAAGTTTAGGTTGTAAAGAAATACTGGCTATCTTTGGTGGGCACAGAATAATTAAAAAGCTTCACTACCAAAAAAACAAACACACTTATGAGCAACAGTAGCTGAAATGTTTTTTTATTATTTTTCCTATTGCTAGTACTTACTGCCTACTATATGCCAATCATAAAACTTGCAGCTCCAAAAACATTTAAAACGTTTTTTAAAAGAAAATAAATAAAAATAAAATGTTTATTGGAGTAGCAGCACAGAGTCACATACTGGTATCATGCTGGCTTTGCTCACAAATACTTTAATACAGAGATTTGGAACTGGAATACTGCAATAAAATTTATATGAAATGATATAAATTGGTAATTTATAGTGATATAGTGATTAGCATTCAAAGTCAAGCTTCTTACCTGGATTTCTATTCAAATGGGTATTCATACTACTGCTAAGGTTCTGTTCATTATGCTGCTAAAAGAAATTTAAAAAAATACATAATTCAGGTTTAATCTGGTAATAATGGAGCTTGAACTATAGCTCAATTCATGAAGGCGCAATAATAAATAAAAGCTTATTTGCCAAGGATAATGCTGCAGTCTGTAAATACAGACTGTAAATCATTTTTTTTAAAAAAAGGTATACCTGAGTTTCTTGGCGTTTCTTTATTGCATGTTTGTACAATTTATGAAGTTTTCTGGCATCAAATTCCGTAAATTTGGAAACAAAAATCCACAAGTTCCTACAGTTGGGGAGAAAAAGAAAATAATTTAGATTTCCAGTCTTATGAAAATCCATTAACAAGTCATGATCCTGATTATATATTACAGTATTCCTTCTGTCTTACTAGAGAACAAATTTCTGTTTTAAATATTAAATTAAAATTAAAACTGCACAATTAAATTTGGAATAAGCAGACAAACGTAATTCATAATAGAAAAAATACGTCAAATTGAGTTACTTGCTTTCACTAGTGCTGAATCACACTAGTGACTTAGCAGAGTGGAGTCTCCACCCAGTGGCCGTAGAGTGTATTTCATATGTTACTTGGTTATCACTTTGTGACTTGCACCATGAAAAGCACAACAGATTTTCTGTGGTCTAGTTTTATGGCCTTTTTATCAAAAGGCCCTAAAAAGTTGGTTACCCCCCCCCAAAAAAAAAGACTATTAAAAAAGTTGACCAGGCAGTTAGCCCTAATGCCCTTCTAACCACAGGTATTATAGACAGATACAGCAGCATAATGATGAACATGAATCTACCCAGAAGAAAGGTTTTGGGTACTTTGCTCTGATTACTGCCAAGACACAAATGTATCACTGACTATGCAATCTTTTCAGTAAGTTTTATTACTATGCCAACACAAACTTGGCCAAAGTGCTGCTACTCTTTTCCTCTGATTTTCTCCTTCAAAATTAAGTATTACCAAAGCTGTTTGTCTCACAGGTAAAAGAGAAGGGGACAGAGTGACCTGTGAGCAAATGAACAGGTATACTGGGCCACTCTTCAAACTGCCTTTTAGAAGACAAGCTACCCCATCCACATTTCTGGTGAAACAGACTGCTATTCTAACTCTGGCAATGCTGACAGTGCTGAGAGAGCTTTGGTCTCCCCTGCCCTTAGGAGCCCTACAACAGGACAACTGGGAGGGAGGGAGGGAGGGAGGGAGATTTGAGCCCTCCCTGCCTCTATGCTTACATAGGCATGAGTATGCAGCCAATACTAACTCACCACCTACCCTTTCATGTGGTTGCCAGTACCAAAAGGTTGCCCACGCCTGAGAGTTATGGGCTAGCCATGGAATAGTCAGTCTGTCCCATAACTACTACCAAAAGTAGTTTGGGGACAGACTAATTTTTTTTCTGAACAAAAATATAACACTTTTTGTGGTTACTTACTTTCTCCACTGTTTGATTTGTTCTGGATTTGTATATTCTTTTAAACACTCTGTTATATGATCTCCAATTTTGATAAGACATTGTCTAGTATGTTCCAGTTGTTCCCTTTCTGAAAGACCTTTCTCTGGTCTATCCAGTTGTTTTAGTGCTGCTTTGACAGGCCTCATTCTTTCTTTGCACTGTAAAGATAACAAAATGTGCAGAAAAGGCTTATCATTCAATTAGGCAACCTTAGCAGTGATGTCTAGTCGCGCTGGCCACGTGACGATGGAAAATGTCTACGGACAAACGCTGGCTCTACGGCTTGGAGATGGGGATGAGCACCACACCCTAGAGTTGGACACATCTGGACTAAATGCCAAGGGGAACTTTTATCTAGCAGTGATGTACCTGAACACCTGTAACATGAACATTTTTCCTACTGTTTTTCTTTTACTGTATATTTTCTATGACAAAGGATAAAGCATTTTTACATTTTCAAAATTAGCAATGAAAAAAAAATCTTACTATACTGAATGTCTTCTGATCCAGCTCCTCAGATTCTTCAGATATAGGAACTGGCTCACTGCTTGCTGTTATATGAACAGGTGTATCTGCTGAAGGGGCTTTTTTTGTTTTGTCCTTGTTGTCAGGTTTGAATTCATTTGTCTACAAACAGAGAATAACCAAGATTTCTAAAGTGATTATAAAGAATGAAAGCACAGCACCGTTTCCCATGTAATATTATGAAGAAAGCAATTTTACCAACAGAGTGAAATGTAGAACAAGGCACAAAAGACTCCTCCTCTCCTGGACACTTTACAGTCTCAAACAAAGTGAAGCATGCACATAGTAGAGGAACAAAATGCACAGACCGCTTATAAAGAGGGAAAGAGGCAGAATGCCATTTTAACTTCATCACCTTGTCTTCTTTCACTTCCTTTTCTTTTTGTACGTATTCTTTTGCCTTGTTTTCTCTCCTATCTTTCATCTCTTTTTCCCTCATCTCTTTCTTGTCCTCTTTTTCCTTTTTGTCCCTTTTCGGATCCCTTTTGTTTTCCTTGGTCTCTCTTTTCTCATCCACCTCCTTTTTCATGGTAGTATCTGCATCAAGACTTTCTTCAATTTCTTTTTCTGTTTTCATCTTTTTATTTGGATGTTTCACAGAAGACATTTCATCCTGGCAAACAGATGAATGTATATTACAATGAAGTCTACAAGGGTCAGATATTATTTTTAAACTATCTACCTACAGGAAAGGATACAAGAAACTATATTATAATTTGCCATTCTTTTCTGAAGGGTTCTTCAACTTTGTCCTATTTTTAAACTATTGGCAAAAGTCACTTGTTCAACTATACATTTCAGTGGAACATGACATGGAGATGGAGCTAAAGGAGATTAAATCATTCCTTTTTAAATTCCATTTCACTTCATGTTGATTCTATGTACAATTAGCGATAAACATGCTCTATGTCAGAATGGGTCAAGTGTTCAAGGTTCACATTCAATCTTCACAGGCTCCCCAGAGTTCCCCCCACCCGTTAAAAAAAAAGATATATAGTCTGTTTTGCTCTCACACCAGGACTGAAAAGTAATGGTTTCCTGCTTCTGGCCTTGTGGGGAAGTAGTGCCTCAAAACCACCCCACCCACCCAAAAGGAAACTGTATTTGCCCAGGAACATGCTTGTTTTTTGTTCAAAAATGGCAATTTTCAGCATTTCTATGCCCACTGCAGCCTGTGTGGTGTGGTGGTGGGGTAGAACTGGCCCATCCGCCCTCAGGCCTTGCCTACCCCTGCTCTACATGAAATTGTCCTTGAATAATGCTTGGAAACTGCAGCAGGTGCAAAATGCAGAAGCCAGGGTATATTCAGGTGTGCACTTTAAGACCAGAGGCACTGAACTTACATTAACCTGCCCTAGCTTCCAGTTTCGTTCTGGACCCAATTCAGGGTGCTACAGAGTCCTAAATGTAATGGGCTAGAGGAAAGTGTAATTTGCCTAATCCATTTATTTCTGTTGACTTTTCATGCTTGCTTCAGATTGGAGATCTAGTTTATCATAATGACTAACATCCCAAGCAGCACACAAGAAGCCAACTTTGAAACCTTGCCCGATTTGTCAGCTTCCTCTGGCCTTAGGTTAAGCCATTGTTTTCCCAACCTCAGCTCTATTTTAAGCTATATGGGATGAAATGCCACTAAGTTCAAAATGATTTGTATTCAATATATTCACCTTGCTATCCTCCTCTTCCTCTTCCTCAGACTTATCTGAAGGGGTTGGTGATGTGTCACTCTTTATCTCCTCCTTCATCTTTGCTGCTTTTATGGTCTTGCTCTTCTTAATTCTCATTTTTCTTCTCTTTGAGCCACCCTGAATATCAGATAGGCATATTAGCAACTCAAGGTTTTAAAGGAATGTGTTTCATTAGTACTACATACTCCTCAATTCCTTGGAGTCATACATATTTAAATAACAGTGATTACAAAAAAGAACAGAACTAGTATAAGTAAAGAAAATTAGGTTTAAAGAAAGCTTATATTAGATATTCACAGGAGCACAATTTTATATTTCATTTCAAAATGGAGAAAGCCAAATACAGATATACTGGGATCTTGCTAAGTGTGCACTGCAATGTTATCTCCTGTGAGCAACAAAATAACTTACTGCTCCAGATAGTCTTTGGGCTTCCTTCCTTGCAAGGTCCTTATTGAGTAATTTTATGAGGTAGTCTGCACGAGTCTGCAACTGCTTGGCTTGGGGCTTCTTATCTGGATCATCTGGTAAAATCTGAAAAGGGCAATTTGGAATATTTCACACATGAATGTGGGAGGGGGGAGCGGAATGGTGTATTTAAAAAAAGATATGCACATTTGTCAGCTGAATTCCAGGTGAGATGCAGATGTTTTAAGGACTTTTAAAAATAAGACTCCATTGTGTGTGTCCTTCAACAGAAGTGCTCACAACATAGTTTCAAATGACAAAAACTAAAAATTCCTATTTGCACAGGCCATCTTGGCATTCATTTGGGTCATGTTGAAGTGTGACACACATCCCTCTCATGTGTACATACATGCACATCACATTTTGCATAATCAAGAAATGTAGTTCTGGATAGATTATACAAATAAGTCAGACTTGGTTCTTACAGTGTGGGACAACTTTGCTATGGAAACAATATACATTCAGTCTCATGGAGATATGCACTTCATCAGTTCCAGCTGTCCCTGTAGAATAGAGATCCTCCTTCCACATACCTCACCACAATGATACTAGTTCTTAAATTATTATACAGTGCAGCAAGTCTCTAGCTGTGGCTGATGAGAGTTTTCCATGTTATCTCCCTCACTGAAACGAATACTGGAATTTTAAAAAAGACTTTCAACCCTTGCATGTTTATTCAGAACATGAACATAATTAGGCACCTTTTTATACCATAATTTCTACCTCAGGTAGACACAAGTTACTAGTTCCTTTTTAAATTCCTAAGGAGTGCCAAAATACATATTTAAAAAATTCAAAACAAAACTCTCTGTGTACCTAAGACTCAACCAATTAAGGACACTGAGGCCTCATTTCTTCAAATGGGACTGTGCTGTAAATATGCTGTTTATAGAAGTGACACAACTATAGCCTGTAATTCATCTTTGCTCTTCTATATCATCAGATAGTGGAGTTATGCCTTAGTGTTTATTTGGGGTAAAGAAAAGATACAAAAAGTGGGGGCGTGTTTTGAAAGGACTTTATTGATGGTGTGAATTTCTTCATTTTGGGTGTTGTAGTTTTTTTAAAATTTATTTATTTATTTTTGCTTTAAACCAAATGAACTGCTCCTGGACAGCATAATACCTTACTCAACACCCATAACAAACAAACACATCCTTAAGGTGAATAAGATGGTCAGTGAAGAGGACAAAAGGTCCCTCGCAGAAAGAAGGTCCAACAGTTTTCGAGGGATATAAAGGGAACGTTGAAAATAAATGTGAGAGGGGAAAGAATATACAGTGTGGAGAATAAATCAATAAAGCATGTTTGACATGTACAACTCTCTCACTCCGATGTTTCCATATGTATAGCTACCCTACTTTTTACTCAAGCAGCAGTTTTTGATCTCTTGAACAAAAGCATGTTCCACAGATGGAAAACAGGACTTACCTTGTGTGTTAAATTGAGATCTGGGTCCATTTTTATCATTTCCCAACTACCATATCCGTATTCATAAATGCCTATTAGAAGATTAGAGTCATCCTCCTTGCCCCAATCCATATCAAAATGAGCTGCCTTAGTGTGACAAGGAATGGTATACCTATATGGAAAACAACAGATTCATTCAGAAGCTATTTCTAAGTTATCTTCCTTAATAAAAAAATACATATAATTTAAAATTTGACAAAAATGAAATATGAACTGATGAATTGTTTGTTGATTACCGTTTTGTTCCAAACTTACCTGAAAAACACATCGTTCCTCCCTCAATTTATTTTTGTAAAAATTTATGTGAGGTAGACTGATATATGATAGGACAAACTGACCCAAGGTCATCCAGAGCACCTTGGATGAGTGCTGATCTGTACCCACGTTTCCTCAGTTCTTGTCATATTCCAACTGCTATACTACACTGGCTCTCTTCTTGAACAATCTCACTCTTCTTCACATTTGCACTAAGACTGGCTCTACCAAGAAGGTATCAGATGCATAATTAAGCTGTGGCAAAAGCTAAGTGGTGCTGTGAATGGGTGAGCAGAGATGGTTAGGCAGAGTCTACCTCTATAACTCACTGGCCCTTCCAGGGTCCCTGCCAGGGCTAAGTGGAGGACATGGACTGGATCCCTTCTTTTGTACATTAACCAGGAGTGAATGTTTCTGTAGAGTCAGGAGGCTGAGGAATCCAAGAGGGCAGGACGAGGATAGAGGCGGGAGACAGCCTATCAAGGAAGGGAATATAAGAAAGCTGGTGGAAGAGCGGGGGGGGGGGGTAAGCAGACAAGGAGAGGAGAGTCAGGTTCTGAGGCATATGTCAGGTCTGTGGCTTCCAGGTGCAACCCTCCTTTGGCAGATTATATTCCAGACTAGCTGAAGGAACTCAGACTGGAAGAGCCCATGGAGACCCCAAAGACTGAATTTAAGCAGCAGGATGCCCAATGGGAATTAAAGCCAGGACAAGTCAGCTGGGAGGACTTGATTCCAGATCAATGCCACTGTCTATGCCGAGACAGACAGTTCCCGCAGTTGTTTCAATTGGCATGGGACAGAAGAGAAGGGTGCTAAGAGCAGACGGGCTTTAGCCCTGTTGAAGAAGTGTTGTAAATTGTTCCTAATAGATGTTGTGTTTATTCTTTGGATACCAACTAGTTTTCTGAAAAGGGATGGATGACACCAGGGACCTTTGTGATCCCCATTTCCACAGAAGCAGCATGCCCCTTCAGAGATGCTATGAGTAGAATCATGTATACTTTCTACACATGGTATGATAAGGACCCCCTAGTATAAATATATTAGAAAAGCAGTAACAAACAAACCTCTTCCTTTCCTCTGGATCTGAAGGAATGGATTTGTGCAAAGGCTCTAGTTCTTCCTCATGTGCAATTACTAGTTTAGCATTGACTTGTACTCCTGATATTCTGAATGTTGGGCCTTTAACTTTGCCAAGTCTGCCTCCTTAAAATAAGAATACAAAACAAATAAATGTTAGATCAATTTTATGTCGCAGTTCCATGGTGTAAACTTGCAAATAAATGGGACCTCTTCCCTTACAGATATACAGCAAACCATGAATGTAAATCTTACTACAACATTACTGAACTCAAAAACTGGCAATATCATCTAAGGCAGTGGTTCTTAACGTGGGCGATAATGCCCCCCAGGGGGCGATTTCATTTTTCAGGGGGGCAGTAGAACGAAAAGGGGCGGTGTGGGGGCGCT